CTGTTTGGAGCCATTGTTAATGTTGCAGCTGGACCGGCATCTGTGGCTCTTACTATGCCTGCAAGCTGCACCTCAGCAACAACCGTTAGGGAACTTTGAAGAAAGGATTTATTAAGCACAGGTCCTAGAGGGCACGTGCCAGGCCTGGGAGCCACACATCCAGGTGGCAGGGAGGAGGAGCAGACCTGGGTCTCTGTTTTATTAGGGTCCAAGGGTGGACAGGCTAGGGTTTCACAGAGTCACTCTTTATTGGTGAATTTAAATCCTAAGTATGGGAATTTGAGCATGGGAAGGGAAAAGCAAGGTCAGTCAAGCCATCAGTTACCCCAGTTACTCAGAGCTTTTTAAAAGGGGAACTTAACGAATGGGGGTGCCCTGGTTCTTAGTTGTTTAGCTAGTAGCTGTGTCATATAGCTGGCAATTTATTTAAGATGGATGCATTTGAAATGGATGGGTTGGCAATCAAAAGCTCAATGCCAGGTACTTAGAATGGCTTATACAAAGTATGTATCCCCCAGCAACCCTACACACTAGACTGCCTCATGGGTGTAGCTAGATGACATCATTATGCAACCAGTTGGATTGTTGACGGAGAATTCTATATTGTGCTGTTTTACTACAGTTGGAGTGATGGACTGGTAAGACTGAATAAAGCTAGAATCTGCATTTGCATAGGTTAATTGCTAAAGGGCTTTGCTAAGGGGCACACAATGACATTTGTACATAAACTCTTAACTAGACCCATACCTGGAGTCAGTCTAGCCACTTAGAGTGGCCTAGCCTTTCGCCCTCAGTGTCCTTGCTATAAAATGTCAATAATAATGTTTATTATTCACTGTCTTGTCTTTGGTGGAACATTACCAAATGGGGCCACCGCTGAAGGGACAGACAGCATCTTTCCTCCTAACCAGTCAAGGTCATTGCAAGGACTTAGCCCAGGTGTAACAGCTTAAAGCTCACAGTGTTTTTCTGTCTTAGTACCATGCTTCCCAATATCTCAGAAAGAACATTGACTAGAAGGCAGAAAAGAAATTGTGTATATAATACTTTTTAGTTTTCCAAAGCACCGTTATGTCTGTGTCTTCTGCTTCCATTATCAAGGGAAATATTATAATCCTTGTCTCTGAATGGTAAGAAAAGTGAAAACTCATCTAAGGTCACACCACTGGTGAATGTATAAAGCAAGACTAGAATATGCGGAGTCCAGAATTCTTAGCCTCCTTTATTGGGCTGTTACTGTATCCCAAGATTTGAACTTTATGACAACTTGGAGGAAACTATAATGCATAGAAAAGGCACTTGCATAATTACAGAATCAGTGAACCACATTGTGATATTCTGACTTAGAAGAAATATATATTTGTTGACAGCTTGAACAAATCAGGATTAGGGCTGCTCACTGCACCCCCCCCCAACACTGCAGTAGAATATCCGCATATAACTAACTACCCCCAAATTTTAACTAATAGCATAGAGTGACCAGAAATCTTACTGATAACATAAACAACCAATTAACACATATTGTGTATGTTGTATGTATTGTATTCTGTATTCTTAAAGTAAGCTAGAAAAAAGTGTTAAAATCGTAAGGAAAAGAAAATACGTTTACAGTGTATATTGTATTTATTGAAAAAAGTAAGTGTTCAGGTGGACCGATGAATTTCAAACCAATGTTGTTCAAAAGTCACCTGTATATTTTGTCCTGGTCCAGTTCCTGACGTACAGCTCCCAAAACCCTTGAAATTGCATAAGTGTTAAGAGTGGTAAAGACTTTTCATTATGTTAATGAGGTGATTTTTGGAAAGCACTTAAGGATGAGAGCTAGTTACCAGTGGATCCAACAATGTGATTAGAGGCTTGGTATTTTCAGTCCCAGCCCCTGACATTTATTCAGTGAGCAACCCTAATCCTGCTTTGTTCAAGGGTCAGCTGTCATTTGAGTGAGCAAATATATATTTCTTATAAGTCAGAATATCACAGTGTGGTTCACTGATTCTGTAATTATGCTAGTGCCCTTTCTGTGCATCATAGTTTTTCTCCAAGTTGTCACAAAGTTCAAATCTCGAGATGCAGCAACAGCCAGTGATTTAATCATGCTTCTCTAATGAAGCCTCCATAAAAACCTGAAAACGTCCAGGTTGGTGGACACCTGGAGATGTGGGGACAGTGGTGTGCCTGGAGAAGGCATGGAAACACCATGACCCTCCCCACATTCCTTGTCTCAAGCATCTCTTCCATATGGCTGTTCCTGGGTTATATCCTTTTATGATAAACCAGTAATCTTAGTAAAAAAAAAAAAAAAAGTTTCTCTGAGTTCTGTGAGCCACTCTAGCAAATTAATGCAACTTGAGGAGGGGTCTTAGGAACCTCCTGGTTTAAAGCCAATCAGTCAGAAGAACAGGTAACAACCTAGGCTTTTGACTGGTGTCTGAAGTATGAGGAGAGGGGCTTGTGAGAACCCCCAGTCTATAGCAGATCGGTCAGAAGCACAGGTGACAGTCAGGACTTGTGTCTGGTGTCTGAAGTGGGGTGGGTGGCACTCTTATGGACTGAAACCATAACCTGTGGATCTGATGCCATCTCCTTGTAGGACATCAGGGTGTCCAAGAATTGCTTCTTGGTATGAGGAAACCTCCCCACGAAAATGTTGGAGGGATTGGGTCCAGGCACCATTTTATATGTTAAACTGAATTAGAAGTTTGCCTTATTCTTAGAGATTTTAAAAATTAATTTTAATACATTTTCTGTTTACAGTATTTACTCCTAGCAAATAATCAAGATATGGTTCAAAATAGAATATATTTAAGTATAAACATACATGGTCCCTCCCCTGCATGCGATGTGTTAGGATATCGGGGGGAAAAAACATCCGAAATGGTGTCTTGGAGAAGGTGGAACTTGAGCATGGCCTTGGAGTGTGAGTAGGACCTGTGTAGATGGCGAGACACATGGACACATTTGGGTGTGTATAACAGGGAAGGGATACAGCATAATCAAAGATGAGTACATAGTTAGTTTGGCGGGGGGGGGGGGGGGGGGGGGGGGGGGGGGGGGGGGGGGGGGTTAACAGAAGGGTGGAGGCAATGAGGGAACTGACCCAATTGGAACGGAGGGTTTGGACTAGAGGGTGGAAGGAGATAAGACCAGACCAGTATAGTAAGAGCCTTATCCTCCAGATCACAGGCAGAACGAATAGATCAGATAAGAAACAAGCCTAGATATGGAGAAGATCCTTCGGCGGTATGCAGAGGATGGATCAGAGCACAGAGAGCTTTGATTCCATCTACACTTGCAGTGACCATGGCCTAAAACAGTGGTGGCACTGGGGATAATCTATGCAGTATGACAAAGAGAAAAGAGTATATGCTTTGTTCACTAGGGCTGTCATAGGAAGTACTATAAACCAGGTAGCTTAGAACAACAAATTCTCACGGTTCTGGAGGATTTAAAACCAAAGAGTTGGCAGTGTCATGCTCATTCCACACCTGGAGGGGAAGAACTTGTTTTGCCTCTTTCTAGCTTCTGGTGGTTTGCCATCAGTCTTCAATGTTTCTTGTATTGTAGATGTATCACTCTAATTTTCCATTTTCATGTGGCCTCTTTCCTCTGAATGTCTCTCCACAAAGCATTCTTTTTATAAGGATATCAGTCATTGGATTTGGGATCCAGTCTACTCCAGTGGGACCTCATCTTAACTAACCACATAGTCAATGACCTTATTTCCAAGTAAAGTAGAGTCTGAGGCACTGGTGGTTAGGACTTCAAAATGTATTTTTTGTGAGGGACACAATTCAACCAATAAAAGGTTTTGTGTCTTAGATTAAAGATGTAAAGATCCTGAGTATGGATAAATACAGACAAATAGAGAATGGAGGAGGAGGTATTAAAATCTGTTGTATTCCAGCTCAGGTAGATTCTTTTATCTTGGAATGAATACTAGAACATAGCTCCACAAAGAGATTTGAGACCTTTTCCTGCTTTACAGATTTAGAAACATGATTTATTTGGTTTTCAGTATATTTCTGGATAAAATCCATTTTCCATAACGTTAGCCTAAACTTCTAAATCCTGGATCTCAGAGTAGAAGATGAGTTTTAATTGGAAGAAAAATTAACAAGCAAGTTTTATATCTTATAAAAGTTTATTGGGGTGCTTTTCCTTATTCCTTTTGACCATGTCATAAGTGCATAAGTTTGGCTCACTGAGAAGTTCAGTATGAAATCACTAGGAATGTAGAATCTCTCATTTTTGTTTAACAGCTGAAGTACTGAGCTGTGACTGAGTGTAGGGGGTATTTGATGATGTCCTTTCTGCCAGGTTGACTCCATGGTCCTAGGTTGTGGGACAGAGTGCCTTTGAAAGACTGAGCCGTTCTTCCTGTTTCATTTTTTGTGTTTTTAAGTTTATTTATTTATTTCTTAGAGAGAGAGAGAGCCTGGGAGGGGAAGATAGAGAGGGAGAGAAAATCCCATGCCGACAGCCCGGAGCCCAATGTGGGGCTCAAAACCGTGAACTGTGAGATCATGACCTGAGCTGAAACCAGGAGTCGAATGTTTAACCAACTGAGCCACTGGGTGCCCTTCTTGTTTTTTTTTTTTCTTTTCTTTTCTTTTTATTTATTTATTTATTTTTTATGTTTTATTTATTTCTAAGAGAGAGAAAGAGAGAGCGAGACAGCGTGAGCAGGGGAGGGTCAGAGAGAGAGGGAGATACAGAATCTGAAACAGGCTCCAGGCTCTGAACTAGCTGTCAGCACAGAGCCCTATGCGGGGCTCACACACACGGACTGTGAGATCATGACCTGAACCGACGTCAGACGCTTAACCGACTGAACCACCCAGGTGCTCCCTTCTTCCTGTTTTTAACACATGGGTAGTAAATGCTGCTCAGAGGAATCTGATACTCCTAGAGTACTCATCAACAGTTAGTCAGCCTCTGGTATTGAAATATGTAAGAGCAGACCCATCGCAGCTGTACAGACTCTCTTTTTCCTCTTCCAGAGTCTTCTCCAGGTGTGACAGAGGTGACTATCATAGAAAAGCCTCCTGCTGAACGTCATATGATTTCCTCATGGGAACAAGTAAGTGTGGCCCTTCTGAATCCTTACATCCCCGCAAAGAGAGGTCAACTCCAATGACCCTAAAGAAAGAAAAATTAGGGCAGGAAACCTGTTCTTATCTCAGGCCACAGCTGCCTTCCAGGTAGAGTTCACCTTTCTCTCTTTTCTGTTCAGGCCATTTAACATTCCTTGCAGTTCCATACCAGTTCCTTAGCCTGGAACATCTCCCCTGAGCCCCATTATCATTTGGAAGCAGTGGAACATTCGTAGTTGTATACAACAAAGCTAAAAATCCAGCAAGGAAAGGAATATTTAAATATTAATAAGCATGCTGAGCACAACGCGGATAAGTGTTATAGGGAAGTACTAACCAGATTAATAGCTACTGCTTCCCCAGTCCTCCTCTGAACTTATATTCATTTGTTCAGTAGAAGTTTTAAGCTCCTAAACTGGGCTGGGCATTGTGCTTGGTGTTGATTCCTGAGGATTCATCGGTAATCAAAAAAACAGTCCCTTACCTCTTAATGTTACTGTGTAAGACATAGTGTAGGTTGTTACAAGTATAATTACTGAGCAGACTTAGCACAGTGAGAGAGAGGTAAAGGGAGCATTGTCAGGAGGCCTGACCTAGTTTTAGGTTAAGAAAGGTTTTTCCCAGAGAAGTTATGTGAAGTTGTTAACCAGACAGATGGGATCTGAAAGGGGTTTTCAGCCTGTGGGAAGGCCTTGAAATGGGAAGGATTAAATTTTCCAAGAGCGTAAAGAAGGTTCCTGTGGCTGGTGCATAAGAGAGCAAGCAAGAGAGGTTGGCAGGGACCAGGGAATGCAGGCTTCTTAAATCATCATGAAATTGTGCTTTATTATTTTTTTTAACTTTTTATTTTAATTCCAGTTAGATAACATACAGTGTTAAATTAATTGCAGGTATACAATGCTGTAATTTTAACAGTCTGTACATCACCCTGTGCTCGTCGTGACAAGTGCAGTTCTTAATCCTCATCACCTATTTAACCCACCCTCCTACCTCCCTCCCCTCTGTAGCCATCAGTTTGATCTCTATAATTAAGACTCTTTCTCTCACTCTTTCACTTCTCCCTTTGCTTCTTTGTTTTGTTTCTTGAATTCCATATATGAGTGAAATCCTACAGTATTTGTCTTTCTCTGACTCACTTATGTCACTCAGAATGATACTGTAGCTCCATCCATGTCCTTCCAAATGGCAAGATTTCCTGTTTTATGGCTGAATAATATTCCATTATACTTATATACCACATCTTCTTTATCCATTCATCAGTCCATGGAGACTTGGACTGCTTCCATATCTTGGCTATAGTAAATAATGCTGCTATATAAATGTAGGGTTGCATGTATCCCTTTGAATCAGTGTTTTTTTATTCTTTGGGTAAGTACTCCATTGTGCAATTGCTGGACATAGGCTATTCTGTTTTTAACTTTTTGAGGAACCTCCATACTGTTTTCCACCATGGCCACACCATTATAAATTCCCACCAACAGTACCTGAGTGTTCCTTTTTCTCCATATCCTCCCCCACACCTCTTTGTTTCTTGTGTTGTTGACTTTAGCCATACTGATAGGAGTGAGACTGTCAATATAGTGATTTGCACTTTTGTGTTGATAAGTGATGATTTGAGTATCTTTTCATGTGTTTTCATCCACGTCTCTTCATGTCTTCTATCCATTTTTTAAATTGAATTATTGGTTTTTTGAGTGTTGAATTTTATGAGTTCTCTATATATTTAGGATATTAACCCTTTACTAGTTATGTCATTTTCAAATATTTTCTCCCATTCTGTCTATTGCCTTTTAGTTTTGTTGATTGTTTTCTTTACTGTGTGGGAGGGCTTTTTATTTTGATATAGTTCCAGTGGATTATTTTTGCTTTTATTTCCCTTGCTTCAAGAGACAAGTCTAGAAAAAAAAGTTGCTATGACTGATGTCAAAGAAGTTACTTTCTGTGTGCTTTTGTGGGATTTTTATGGTTTCACATCTCACACTTAGGTCTTTAATCCACTTTGAATTTATTTTTGCATATAGTATAAGAAAGTGGTCCAATTTTTTTCTTTCACGCATTGCCGATCAGCTTTTTCAGAACCATTTGTTGAAGAGACTGTCTTTTTCACATTGGATATTCTTTCATGCTTTGTTGAAGATTTATTGACCATATAGGTGTGGGTTTATTTCTGGGTTCTCTTTTCTGTTGATATATATGCCTGTTTTTGTGCCAATATCATACTGTTTTTATTACTACAGCTTTGTAATATAACTTGAAGACCAGAATTGTGATGCCTCCAGCTTCTCTCTTTTTTAAGACTACTTTGACTCTTCAGGGTCTTTTGTAGTTCTCTGTGATTTTTAGGATTGTTCTAGTTCTGTGAAAAAAGCTGTTGGTATTTTGATATGATTGCATTAAATCTGTAGATTGCTGTGAGTAGTATAGACATTTTAACAATATTTGTTCTTCCAATCCGTGAGCATGGACTGTGTTTCTGTTTCTTTGTGTTGTCTTCAATTTCTTTTATTAGTGCTTTATAGTTTTCAGAGTATAGGTTTTTCACCTCTTTGGTTAGGTTTGTTACGAGGTATCTTATTTTGAGTGCAGTTGGAAATGGGATTTTCTTTTTAATTTCTCTTTCTGCTGTTTCATTATTGGAGTATAGAAATGCAAGAAAATTCTATGGATTGATTTTGTATCCTGTGACTTTACTGAATTATCAATTCTAGAAGTTTTTTTTGCTGTAGTCTTTTGTGTTTTCTGAATGGAGTATCAGGGTATCAGCAAACAGTGAAAGTTTTACTTCTTCTTTACCAATTTGGATCCCATGTATTTCTTTTTGTTGTCAGATTACTGTGGCTAAGACTTCCAGTATTATGTAGAATAAAAGTGATGAGAGTAGACATCCTTGTCTTGTTCCTGACCTAGGGAAAACTCTTTTTCTTCATTAAGGATGATTATTAGCTATGGAGTTTTCATATATGGCCTTTATTATGTTGAGGTATATTCCCTATAAACCTACTTTGTTGAGGGTTTTTATCATGAATGGATGTTTGACTTTGCCTAAAACTTCATCTGTGTCTTTCCATATGATCATATGGTTCTTATCCTTTTTCTTAATGATGTAATATATCAGGTTGATTGATTTGCAAATATTGAACTCCCCTTGCAATCCAGGAATAAACCCCATTTGATCGTGGTGAATGATTTTCTTAATGTATTGTTGGATTGTTTTCCTAGTATTTTTATTGAGGATTTTTTTCCTCTATGTTAATCAGGGATATTGGCCTGTAGTTCTCTTTTTCAGTGGTGTCATTATCTGGTGTTGATGTCAGAGTAATGCTGGCCTCATAGAATGAGTTTGGAAGTTTTCCTTTCTTTCTATTTTTCAGACTAGTTTGAGAAGAATAGATATCAACTCTAAATGTTTTGTAGAATTCCCTTGTGAAGCCCTCTAGTCCTGGACTTTTGATTATTGGGAGTTTTTTGATTACTGATTCAGTTTCTTTGCTAGTTATCAGTCTGTTCAAATTTTCTATTTCTGTTTCAGTATTGGTAGTTTATATGTTTCTAGAAATTTATCCATTTCTTTTAGGTCATCCTATTTGTTGGTATTCTCTTATGATGTATTTCTCTGGGATTGGTTGTTATTTCTCCTCTCTTGTTTGTGATTTGGGTCCTTTCTCTTTTTTATTCCTGATAAGACTGAGTAGAGGTTTGTCAGTTTTATTGATTTTCTCCAAAGAAATAGCTCCTGGTTTCTTTGATCTGTTTTTATTGGAGTTTTTTTGTTTGTTTGTTTGTCTTCTATATCATTTATTTCTGTGCTAGTCTTTATTATTTCCTTTTGCTGTTTGTTCTTTTCCTAGCTCCACTTTTGCTGATCTGTTCTTTCATTTCCAGGCTGACCAATTTATTGTTCAGTAGCATGTCCTTTATCCTTTATGTATTTGTGGTCTCTCCAGATATTTTCTTATGGTCGACTTCTAGTTTCATAGCAATGTGATCAGAAAATATGCATGTTATAATTTCCATCTTCTTCAATTTGTTGAGGTTTGTTTTCTGGACTAATGTGATCTATTCTGGAGAATGATCCATGTGCACTTGAAAAGAATGTGTATTCTGCTGTTTTAGGATGGAATGTTCTGAATGTATCTGTTAAATCCACCTGTTCTAGTGTGTCATTCAAAGCCATTGTTTCCTTGTTGATTTTATGTTTAGATGCTCTGTCCATTGAGGTAAGTGGGATGTTAAAGTCTGCTACTATTATTATATTATTATTGATTAGTTCCTTTATGTTTGTAATTAGCTGTTTTATGTATTTGGCTGTTCCTGTGTTGGGTGCATAAATATTTACAGTTGTTCTATCTTGTTGGATTATCTTCTTTATTATTATATAAGTATCCTTCTTTGTCTCTTATTACAGTTTTGTTTTAAAGTCTTTTGTCCAGTGTTAAGTATTGCTACTCTGGCTATCTTTTGACATCATTTGCATGATAGATGTCTTTCCATCTCCTCACTTCCAATCTGTAAGTATCTTTAGGTCTAAAATGAGTCTCTTATGGACAGCGTATAGATGGATCTAGGTTTTTTATCCATTCTGTCACCCTGTGTCTTTTGATTGGAGTGTTTAGTCCATTTACATTCAAAGTAATTACTGATAAATATATATTTACTGTCATTTTCTTACTTGTATGTTTGTTTCTGAAGATTTTCTCTTATCCTTTTTCTTTCATGGTTTGCTGATTTTCTTTAATGCTTTTCTTTATATTTGGATTTCTTTGTCTTTATTCTTTGTGGATTTATCAGTGATTTTTTTATAGATAATTATCATTGGGTTTGTATATAACCTCTTCTGCCTATAGCAATCTGTTTTAGGTTGATGATCGTTCAAGTTTGAACCCATTCTTTTCTCCTCTCTACATTTTCAATATATGTTATTATGTTTTATAACCTTTTTTGTGAGTTCCTTGACTGATTTTTTATAGCAATATCCATTTTTACTGCT